AATGAGTGTTCTAACTCTGAACTTGGTTATTTTCAGTATATTAACTGGTTACAGACAAAAGAAGAAAAGTTTCGGCGGAATCACATCGACTCATTTTTAATTGAAACAGTCAATCTTGGAACTCTTACAAAACTAGTTATTGGTCATGAAAATTATGGCTATGGTGAGTAACCTGGCCTTATAAACAGCAGTTATATTGATAAAAGAAATAGTTTATCCACATTTAGGTACCTTAGATTAAACGAATTATTTTCACATATCAGAGATTAGAAGTTTTTACAGCCCTGATTTTACACAACTAAACTAACAACCTAAATATCATACTCTATTTTTACCAACTTGTCTGTTTTTTAATCTGTGATAATTCTGTAAAAAATATAATATTTTGAAAAATATTAAACGTAATTAGAATTAAAAAAAACAAATAAGCTACAAAATTAGCATTAAATAAAGAGAAGGAACACACAATAAGTTTAAAAATTTTAACAATCAATTCACTAATCAGTTAGTTTTAAGTCTCTTAGAGTTTGAAAGACGATTTGAAGATTTGGAAAAGCATTCTTTTAAATGTATTTACAGAAACTAAGTAAATTTGCAACGAACAAATAGGACTGTTTTGTTTCGCCATTACTGCCACCACCTCTGATTCATTATCTTTAGGAGCTGGTGTATTTATTGAACAAGTATTGGTAACGGAGAATGTTGCCGAAGGAAGGCAGTTTTTATTTCAGTGCAGTAAATGGTTAGACAGTGGTCAAGTTGATGGCAAAATTTCTAGGATTTTAAAGATGGCAGCATTTTACTATATATCAACGATTCCACGTGACAACGTAACTACCAGTCAGTAAATTAGCCAAAAAAAACTAACACTGTTGTCATTATTATTAATCTCATTTATAATAATAATAATGATAAAAATGATAATAATAATAATAATAATAATAATATTATTATTATTATTATTATTACTATTACTATTACTATTATTATTATTATTATTATTATTATTATTTATTATTTATATTATTGTTATTATTATTATTATTATTATTATTATTATTATTATTGTTATTGTTATTAGTATTGTTATTATTATTATTATTATTATTATTATTATTATTATATTATTATTATTATTATTATTATTATTATTATTATTTTTCATTATTATTATTATTATTATTATTATTATTATTATTATATAGTAATATTTTAATGTAAATGTTCTGTTCCGCTTTTATCAGCTAGCTTCAGAGGGACGATGGGAACTGATATTGCATTCTGGTGGTAAAGATGGAACCGGCGGAACCACATCAAATTTAAACATTATCGGTTATAGCAAAGATGATGTTTCTGCATCTAATAAAATCTATGATAAAAAACTTGCCGATGTACCATCAACGTCACTTGTTCAGGTATTTTTCACAACCAGTATCAAGAAATGAAGAAAGTCTTATCGTTTATACTATAATTTTTTGCATTTCATTAACTTCTATAAACTGTACCGTTTCGGTTGTAGATTGACTTTGGTGATATTGGAGATTTGTTGAAAATCCGCATTGAAATAGATGGAAACGGAGATTTGCCAAATTATTACCTTGAAAAAGTTGAGTTAAGAGACATGGACACTGAAGAACGAATGGTATCTTATGTAGAAAAATGGCTAATTTGGAATCCTCAAGAACCAAATCAACAACCGTTCAGGGAGTTTCCAGTATTCAGAGCAGCATTCGAACCGCTAAATAGTAAGTTTATTTCTTTATTTTATTTGAGCCCAAATACTGAGAATGTAGTTAATTAAGATGATGTTTGTTTCAGTAATGAACTATGAGGGTAAATTACGACTGTCTGATAAGAATAAAATGCATTTGGCTACTGAAAATGCAAACTTACAAATTTTTGGTGAATTTGGTAGCACTGGCCGATTTCCTGTAAAACTTGTTTCACCAGATGACGATAAAACGGTTAGTGTTGACAACTGAATATGATGGAAATTAAAAGTGCTTTTTTCGAGTAAGTGGTGATTTTTAGGAAGTATCTTTCAAAACAGAAGCTGTCACTGTTGGACTTATTCGATCGATACGGCTATACGTTCAAACTGATAACATCGGTACTTCTACAATTAATTGTTTAATAATCATCTGAAACCTGGGAAGGTAAAATGGCGATGACAGCAGTGAAGAGACAAGAATTTCGAAAAAAAACCTAAAATTTTCTCTAAATTTTTTGCATTTTTATTATGATACCTATTTTTGTAAGATTTATTACGACAGTAGTATACAGCAAGAATATTAAGAAGTAGTTAAAAAATTATTTGTTAAAAAGCGTGAACAATCTCTGCCTATTCTAATAGAAAAATAATTAGGATAATGTAAGAGTAATTTTTTGCTACAGTGTTACTTATTAAAAAGTCTGTGAATTTTGTCGGTCTATAAATAAATGTAATTTTTGTAGGCACTAAACTCTTCAAAAATATTTTGATGCTTTATAAAAGACGTTCTATTTATCGTCAGTTCTTTTAGTTAATGTAATGTAATTCTCTAGGTGAGGAAGTTTACGAAGGTTTATGCCAGCTGCAGTCCATCTACGATAATGCTCTGAAAGCCGACATCAATATTGCTTCAAATTGGATTGTCAAAGATGCCGTCATTCGAGAATCGCAACATACACCGTATCGATTTATTCTTCAAAATAGCCGAGTTCGACCTCAAGAAGAAGACACTGAAGAAATTTTCAAAGAAGTTACTTTTACAGGTACCGTTTATATTTTATCCAACACTTTTCTTTTATTTTTAAAAACTTTTTTAAAAATGAAGAATCGTCGCTCTTTACAAGGCAACTCAGAAATATCTTAAAATAAGAGCAGAAACAAAAGAGTATAATTAAAAACTTGTCATTCAAATGCGTTTTGTTTAAAAACAAAAATATTTGCGACTTTGAAATTAATAAACTTTTATTTCTTTTTGAAGAAAAAAATTAATATATGTTTAGCATTAACAAAGAGAAAAAGTGATTTCAAATTAACAATAGCTAAAAATTTAAAAAGTGCTGCTTTAGAAAAAACACTTTAAATAATTGTTGCAAAAAAATAAAATTTTATAATATTACTAGTTGCATAAAAAGTGTCAGTAGCTTAAAATCAGCAAATTTTTAGACTATAGGTGACTGCTGCTTTTTTTATTGCTGATTTTACAGCCCAATTTAGGGTAAACATTGTTTTTAAAGCATCCAAAAAAAAATTTTTTTTTAAGAACAAAACAAACTCATTGAAGATTTCTTTTTCTTCCCCACCGTCCTCATTTTTCAGAAGAAAAAAAAAAAGCCATTAAAGTATACAAATTTCTAGGTATGGAGGGTCTAGCGACAAAAATGAGCAAAAAGAAAGCTATTAAAAAGGGTGCTTCACAGTGGTGCCTTAAAATGAAGGTGGCTAACAGCAGTCGATTGATGCCCAAAATAATCCTCTGCAGTAAAAATGCCACCACAGAGATGGTTGTTGTTGACGAAAAACCCTCAGAAAACCTATACTTTTTTGAGGTTGTTATCTTCATTGATAATTCTAATTACCAAAATTTTACTAGTAGTAATTTTAATCTTTATTCAGTTTACAAGTGCTACTTATGATAGTATAAACTGATCAAGCTAAAGAATATTCACTTCAGTTGTTTAGCTAGAAAGATATATCTAAATGGAACCAAAATATTACAGCAGGTAATAAGTTGAAGCCTTATTGCATTAGTTTTTTTTGGTTGTAGCAGCGGCAAACAGACGATGGTTTGTTGCTGAAAGTAAGGGTATCTATTGATGATGGCCAACATTCGAGTGGAAGTATGTCAGCTGATAAGAGAAACGCTGCAGATTCTTTAGAAATTTTAAAAGTAAGTTTTTTTTTTTT